GATTTTAGCGACATTATTCACCGGAATTGTTTCAAAATTGGTATTTGAAGTTCGTTATGGGAACTACAGTCTGTGACAGAAAATTGTCTGTGCGGGTCCAGGTCTTCATATAGGCCCCACATATATCAGTACCTCCCTATATTCGGTATTTTGACGATTTTAGGTACAATACCCACCGAAGTTGTTTGAGATGTGGTATTTGAAGTTCGTAATAGATGCTACAGCCTGTGACAGAAAATTGTCTATGCTGGTCCAGGCCTTCGTATAGCTCCAATTTAACGGCACCTCCTTATATACGATATTTTGATGATTTGAGCTACATTATTAACCGTTTATTTCAAGTTTCGAATTTGAATATGGTAATGGCTTATGACAAACAATGCCTATGTATGTCCACGTCGTATAGACCCCAATATAACGGCTATATTCGATATTTTTAAAATTTTAACAGAATTTTTTAAAGATTTTATTTTTTAAAAATTCGTTGCAAATGGTGGAGGGTATTAAAAGTTCGGCCCACCGAACTTACTGCTTTTTAACTTGTTCAATATTTACAGAATGGAATATTGCAATATGTTCAGCTCACAAGCCATTTTTCAGCCACTGCGACGCGGGTTTCGATCAAGTCGCTTCTTTACTTTTCGAACCATTACAACAGATGTTGCTGTTTTCTTCTGTCGACTTCCTTCACGTCGGGCTACGCTATCAGGGTTTCGATCAAGTCGCTTCTTTACTTTTCGAACCATTTCTACAGATGTTGCTGTTTTCTTCTGTCCACTTCCTTGACGTCGGGCTACGCTACCAGTATCACGGTAAAAAGCGATGGTACGAGACATAAAAGATTTATTAACAATTAAATGCTAGAGTGCTCTAAGGATAGCCCCTTGTGGTTTTCCAGCCAAATATAAAGAAATCAAATTATCACGCTTAAATTCCATCACGAATAACTTTTTTCGGGAAAATTTTCACCAAAAATGCTTCTGTATGCTTGTAAACAATATAATGAACTGTTACTGGAATAATTTTAAGAGCTGTCGGACGAGTGGAAATGACAGCAGTCTGAAGTTTTGTTTATTTGATAATAAACTACTTGTTGCATTTGGTTGGATAACTATTCTGACATTAAAATCCATTCAGGTAATATTTTCAGGCAATATTTACTAAGATAGCTTACCTCTCTTCATTGTACTATACGTGCACACATGGCACAAACAGAAAGGTTGCTTACAACTGAATTTGAATATTTTCTCAAGAATTTTCATATGATCGAAAATAACTCACACATGAACAAATTAATTTAGCAAAACAAAATTAAAACAGCAGATAGACGCACGGCCGGGGAAAATTTTCTTAGAATTTTACGCTGATCAAGATGCAACGGAACAAGATTTCGAGGAAAATTGTAATTAAATTAGAGTAATTAATGCATTTAAAGCATGGTAGATTTTAAAAGCTAACGTCATGCATTCATATCCATTGTATAAACGTATATCGGCAGGAGATGGGAACCTGTTTTCAAGCGAAGTTAAATTTGACAATTATTTCATGCAAATGTTGACCGCTACTGTGCCTTAAATGTTAAATGTCCGTGTTTATATCCGTGTGAATTTCAAAATTGCCATTTTTCGTGTGAGTCACGACTTTTGCTATCACTTGCATAGTTTTTTATACCCTCCACCACGGAAAGGAGGCTATATTAGATTTTTCATTCCGTTTATAAGACCTCTAAATAACAGTCGTAGAACCCATAAATTATAAAGATTCATTATAAGTTGCATTATCAGAATTGTATCTAAGTCGATTTAACGATGTTGTCTGTCTGTTTGTCTTTCTGTTGAAATCAGGATACAGTCCACATTAACTGACGTAGAACTTTGAAATTTGGCACATAAGTTTTTATTGTATTTAGTATGGTGGTATTGGAAATGAGGTATATCGGTCCACTTTTTTGTATATCCCCATATAACGATATTCGTTATTTTGATGATTTTATACATACAGGTAACAGCAAGTGTTGTTGTACAACAATCGTAACAACAACCACATACAAATTTATTTTTGTAAGTAATACAAGTTTTAGAGTTATATGTCCAAAAATGTAAACAAAATAATCTCTCAACACTGCAAGCAATCGCTAGAAAATCGCGGAAAAGGAAACATCCTTTTCAAGTTGAAAACAAGTAACTTAAACTTAAAGTTTTTTACTTGTTTTTCTTTAATTACACTGTGATTGTATAGTATTTTGTTGTTGGGAAATAGTCGGGCTTAGTCCAATTATTGTTGTTTTTATAAATACAACGTTTATTTATTAGTGGAGAAAGATGGTAATGTTTAAGAAAGGGAATATTACACATAGCCCCACCAAAAGAAGTTCCTAAAGACGTTAAATCGCACGATCTAGCCGGCCAATTGACTGATCCCGAACGTGACATAAAATGTTCACCGAAATCGTCTCTCAATAAATCCGAAAATTTTACAATGTGTTGCCCATTAACGTCGAAAATATGCATTTATTTTGCAACCGAATTTGAAATAATTTCAAATTATTGTGTTTTTATTCAAAACAATATATATATATATATATATATATATATTTTGACAGATTTTTAAGGGCACCAAAAGAAAAGAAATTGTATTTAGGTGGTAGAATTGTTCTACCTTCAATAATTGTGCCATGGCATGTGGCACATAACGGTAGCGCTCACCATTCACAGTTACGTTACGATTCCCATCATCTTGAAGAGATATGCATTGGTAGTATTTTCAATGCTTCTGGCTGATATTCTCCCCAAAATCGACAATTATACTTACTATCCCACAACCATGGTAAAATTAAGAAAATAAAGTCATGCAATCATATATTTACAGTTTTTTCATAATTATTCATTTGACAACATTTTATTGTCACACAACAGAGATGGGAACATGTTTGCTATGCAGTGAAATTTGACAATGTGAGTTAAAGGAAATACAGAGATGAATATGCTTACTTGAAATGTATTTACCTTCTTAATGTTAACATGTCTATAACTTTTGACAAAAAAATATTCTTGTTTAAAAGATATTTAATTTAATAAAAACTAAAACAAAGCTCATAAAAAAACATTTTAAATAATTAAAAAGTAAGTTTGGCCGGGCCGAACTTTGAAAACCATCCACCAACGGATTTGGAAATTTTCAAATAAATAAAATCCGTTAAAAATGCTGTTAAAGTCTTTAAATATAGCCGTTATATTGGGGTTTATACGAAGACGTGGACCTGCATAGGCAACGTTGTTATATACCATTACTGTAGCTAAAATCATCAAAATACCGCATATAGGGAGGTATCGATATGTGGGGGCTATACGTAGTAGTAGTAGACAGTAGTACCTATTAGGAACTTTAAATACGAAATATGAAACAATTCCGGTGAATAATGTCGCTAAAATCATCAAAATACGGAATATAGTGAAGTATCGATACATGGTGCCTACTCGAAGACCTGGACCTGCTCATCTTCGAACTTGACCTACCTGGAGACAAAAGACTTATCTGTGCACAATTTTAGTTCCCTATCTTTATTGACACTAGTCGTAGAATTTTACGCTGATCAGGAATATGTATACTTTGTTATATGTTAATAATTCGACAAGTTATAAACGGAATGATGAAATTAATATACCCTAATTACAAGATAGGTCCGATTGGTTAAATTTAATAAAAAAAAATGTAACAAGTTGTTTGTTGGACATTACGAATTTCACCAATATCGAGTTCCTGACATTACTATTTTTTATAACAAAACTCAAACGTTTATTCTTCGCAAATGCTGCAAACGTGGTAAAATTAAGAAGGTAAAAATTAAATAAGCATATCTATTTCTAAATTTTCTGTAATTTTTGTCAAATTTCACTGCCTAGAATGCAGGTTCCTATCTCTGAATTGTCTATGTACAATGGCTTTAAAAATATACATATTGACAATGAAATGTTGTCAAATTAATCATTTTAATTCTACCATAGCTGGAAGCTTGGATTTAAATTTCAACAGAATTTAAAATTTATTTGAATATTATTCAAAGCAATACATACACATTTAATATTTTTTCGTTCCCGTACTTTCTGATAAATGTAGTTTTCTGTTGTTCGCATTTCCCTCTTTAACTTGTTGTAACCTTCACAAGGTACAGGAACAGAACTAATGTAATCATTCTCTTTCACCCTACGTCAACTCAGTTTGCCTAGACTGAACAACGTCCTACATGCTGGTAGGTATGTAGATATTTATGTGCACACACTTTCTTTGTCCAATCCTTAACACTTTTCAGTTACCAAACCAATTTTATTTGTCGTTGACAAAAAGAGAGTGAGAAGTGAGATCGTGCCATGCATTAATTTACCTATTAAATTCCCTCCCTCACAAACACATACAGCGCCAAAAAATACCGTGATCAAACCCAATTTTATAAAAGGGGCATTAAGAGAACTATTGTATACTCTTAAACGAGCGAAACTAAAAACATTTATCTTTATTTTTAATGTAGTGAAGTTAAGAGTATTAAGTTGTTTCTGTTACTGGTTTGTTGTGAGCGTGACTTATTCTCTGACTATTGCGTTTTTAGCTTCTCAATGTTTTTATGTCGTCTGTACAAACGTGCTTGGGGGCTACCTTTATTTGAAAACGTGAGTTGATCGTATTCGGTATTGTGCTTCCATCTAGAGAACACATAAAACAAACAAAGCGGCAGCGACTTCCATATTTCGTCAAAAGCTTCCAACCCACTTCTACCTTTGGGGTTTTTTGTATCAATAATGACGACCAAGGTTTTAAAATATCATCCAGCAGCCAGCCGATAATTGGAAAATTCAGCGAGGGACACATAAAAAACAACATTCTAATTTGAATACTGTTGCTGTTAGCGCATCTACCATCCAATCTAAAAACACCAATTGCCTTCTATTGCTTGCAGAAATACAACCCTACAAGGTAGCATTGCACACACTTTCCAACACTGAAATTTTATTGACAACCCGTCACAGCCGTCAGTTCTAGATGTCAATTCGGCCGTGTTAAGGTGGAAAAATAGCAATTGTACAGATAAAATGCAAGATGTAATAGTTTGTATAAAAGAGTAACTACTATTTAAAATAATTTTTCGGGTAGTTAATGTAAGTGAATGTGAAATTGCATTGTAACCTTTGGTTTTTCGGTTAAAATTGCCTGAATTACAACAGCTGTTGTATAGTAGAAATTGCGGTCGGTCGTGAATTCAGTGTATCGAAAAGAAGAAGAGTTCTTACCTTAGTGTTTATTTTTGGAAAAAAGCAATACTCTGCACCGTGCAGCCTGTGTACTAGTTAAATAAATTAATTTCTGAGATATAGATTTAAACGCTGCCCCTGCTGCATTCATCCAAGGGCAGGCACAGAATACGTGAAACGTTTGAATTGTTGGTAAGACCAAAGCAGGCTGAAAGTCGAATCAGTTTCGTGGGTTATTAAACTTGTTGCTCCCCCGCCGTGTTGATTACCTATATAGCATTCGCTCAACAACATCTTTCAATTTAAACGTGTATCCTGTGCCCTTCAGTACGTACGAAAACGGCATCGCGGTGGATAACTTTTACCTTAGAATGGATCCTTCGCGAGGAGACTCGCGGTATAACCTTAACTACTCTATGAGTAGCATTGGACTTTCGCTAGCCGACCAGGCTGACATGTATGGCAATCCAGCGGCAGTAGCCGCCCTTGGGCGTCCTCCAAGCGCTGGTTTGTTGCAAAGTATGGGTGGGGGAGCTGGTGGTTCAGGCGTAGGTGGAATAACATCACGCTCTTCCGGTAGTTTAATGTCAAGTGCACAACAATGTCAGTCTCTAAGCAATAATTCTGGAAGTCATGGAGCCGGACAACAACGTGGTATTAAAAGATCTGGTTCCGATTGCTACGACGAACCGCACCATCGTGTGCCAAACGCCGGCGGCACTAGTGGATTATCAAGTTTACAAGGCCTCGAAAATTGTGGTGGAGGTGGAGGACAACATGGTAGTCAACAACAACCACAATCTAGTGGCTCTGGTGGCATTGTGACAGAAGTGGTGGATGACAATTATAATTCATTGCAGAGTAAGAAATCACCGCCTGCAAATGGAAAGAAAACCAAAGGACGCGTCAAAATTAAAATGGAGTACATTGATAACAAACTGAGACGCTACACCACATTTTCTAAACGCAAAACGGGGATCATGAAAAAGGTGAGTCTTCCTATCATAAGATTTGCGAAACAATGTACCTATATACGAAAAAGAACAATGTGCAATGTATTCTTAACGATCCCAAACGATTCGAAGAGTAACTATGTTTACAGCGGCAATTTTGTCTTTCCTTTCAAGGGTCTTGTGTCCATAAGTAATTGCACACGCATTCATAGTTTATTCCGCATCTAGTTTTTTCTGCCTTCGTTTTTTTATCTACCTAATGCGAGAGGGGAAAAATGGTCCTACTTATTCAATTGTACAATTTAGAAGCTTATCGATACAAGACTTTCAAACTCTTCATTGAAAATGCTAAATAATGGCAAAAAACCAATCGCCGAGCAAACGTAGAGAATATAGTTTCGACTGCATTCATGAAGCGTGGGTATTAATGTACTTATCCACATACAATTGCCATAGACAGTGCAAAGCAGCGGTGGCCGACTAATTCAATTCTAAAGTTTGAGCCAATGAAGATGACGACGACCATGATGGCATTTTGTATTTTCGTGAGCTTTGGTGCTTCTCTCTCCTACTCCCTGTCCATTCAGCATTGTGTATTCCACTGTGGGACAATGACAATAGTGGGCAATCGTTTAGAGTATGCCCATGGCAAATGCCGCTACTCTGGCTTGCCTGTAGCTTTAACAAACAATGGATGACAGCATATGAAGTTTTTTACCACTATAAGTCTGCACTCGTGTTCATCCCCTTACATTCTTTCTTATTTGTTTGATGTTTCGGTATCTTTCGTTTTTGCTGCTTCTGTAATATTAATATTATTATATCTCTGATTAAGAATATCCTTCTGTTATAATTGCACAGCATTGCAGTGCTCAACCCATCAACAAAACTTTGGAAATTTATTTTTCTAAATTAAGGGTAGCATTTGAAAAGGGTTATGCAATATAACTAAATAGAGATTTACAAATTGGGTATTCATTTGTGTATCTACTAATTTCATTCGCAGCATAGACCGGGTTTTTGTCTTCGGTAACCTGTCGAATGTTAGATATTTTTAACCTTCCAAATGTAGGAAAAAATTAACAGTAACCTGCCATTTAGTGTTTTAGTTAGTTAATCATATCTTTGGAGACCTAAGATCGACATAACCATATTTGCGAATATATCATGTTCAGTGTAGCCCCAATATAAATGTACCTTCCGTTTCAAATATTAGGTAGTTTATAGTTCAATTCATAAAAACAGAAGAAAATAGGTCTCATTTCTTACCCCATATTTTTATATTGTAATATGGCTAAAAACATTAAACTTTCATAATAATAGGGTGAGAAATTGCAAAAGTTTTACAAAATTTCAAAAAAAAAAAATGATTTCTTTCAACATTTTTTAAGAAATTGCTTTTACTTCTTTTATATTTACCTTAATATTTGGAGAAATCTTTTTATTCGTTAAATACATTTTATTAATTAATGCCCAGCATTTAGTAATACCCATTCATGTTCGATTTACCCAATTTACTTAATCATTGCACTCGTATATTTATTGGACAGGTTGCAATCTCATAATTCTTCGGAATGTCTGGAGTATTATCGCAGTAATATATAGTATTAATGTATGTAGAAACACATTGAGTGTGCTTGGAAAATTGATTTTAAAGGTAAAATTTGTGATCTTTTTGCTAGAGCCAATTATCCAAAAGGCGAACCTAATAATCCAACTTCAACTCTTTATTGAACATATTACTAATAAAGCCAACTGATCCAAAATTAGATAACTAAACTCGTTTTTTGTACCACAGGATAATGTATCGCATTGAAATTTCGTATGCCCGACGTATTTGGGTAACTGTTAAACAAAAATAAGTAACAAAAATCAGAAAAGACAGTTATCGTTCTCTTTTAAACCAAATACATATATTCAATTCACCACCATGTTAAATGTTTTGCACGTCCGTATTACCCAAATACGCCAGGTCCATATCTTAAATAATACCGTTTTAGAAATTGCACTTATTAAATTCACGCAATGTAATATTTTCTAATTACAAACATTCAATTGTCAATGTTGAATTTGTTTAACTATGAAATTTCGTACGCCCGACGTATTTGGGTAACTGTTAACTTGCCCTTGCGTTTTCAGAAATTTTGGTTTTTTACTATTATTTTTGTCTGACAATGTTATTTTGATTTTTATTTCATTTTGATTTTCATTACATTCGTAAATTAGATGCCTAATCGTCTGCAGTAGTCCAGTCAGAAATCTGAATAGATGTGAAGAATAATTGGAAAGTTATGGCCCTTGAATTAATTAGAAAGTTATAACCGTTCATTCTGTTAAAACTTGGTATTTCAGAGATGAGCCCAATTTGGGTCTCTGAAACAGTTTTCTACTATAATCTTCATATGGATTAAATAATTCGGAGAGACCTTTCATTTAATTTAAAATGTATTCAGACACTATGCTAAAAAATTTGGGTATCTCAATCGAGTATGCTATAATTATCGTACACAACTAAGTCTATTTAGCGGTGCTACCTGTAACAAACATACGTTTATATTTTCGTTACGGCTTTAGAACGATTGAACTTTAAAATCGGCTAGAACATGCATCTATTTCTATAAAATCTTATATTATTTTTATTTTATGTTGTATGTGACCTGACCGAAAATCACAGTTAATCGGAAAAAGAAATTAACAGGATCGACAATTCACAGATAATCGGAAAAAGATTTATGTTTGTAAGCTGTATCAAGCTGTTCGCTACCAAAATTACCTACACGAATTAATGCTTTCATACTGCACTATTCTTAATTCATAATAACATAATTTCTTTGTTCATTTGGCCCAACCAATATTCTCTTGGGGGTTACAAATTCAATCGAATACAAAATTTTCTTTTCTGACCACACATTAGATGTGAAAGTTTACTTGGGGATACTCCAATGTGGGGACTTTAATTAAATAAATTCCTATGTGGCAATTATATGTATGATGGTTCCCCACCCCAGGGTAGCATAAATACCATTTTTAGCCAAATCAATTGATGAATGTGGTCAAGACCAAAATGGGCCTTACTCTGAAAATTTCAAATTTTATGCGAAGAGGTCTCTACCCCCTTAGAAACAAAGATGCCAAATAAGTGCCAAAATATGAAAAAAGTGGCCAATACCCCAAAAATAGCTTAAATCATACGATGGTTATATAAATATGAAATCGGGTTGTACCCTTATCCGTGAGTTATGATCGATCATGACCTGCAAAAGCGATTTAAGGTATCTTGAATGTTTGGGAAGAATTTCTGGAAGGATAGAAATCCCTTTCTTACTAAAAGTCCCATTCGCTCTACTATTTTGCACCCTTTAAATTTGGTATTTTACTGATTGTACTCCCAAAGAATTTTGCATTTTGAGCTCTCATTGAACAGATTATTCTCACATGAAAGAAGTAGGCCCACGCTTTGAAATAAGCCCCATTAGGCTTTTTTGGTAATTTCTGTTTGTTAAAATGTGTTCGCATCTTCCAGATGAACCACCATGTAGGCTCTGGAGTTGAATGATAGATGATATATATATATATATATATATATATATATATATATATATATATATATATATATTTTTTTTTTTAATTTGTTTTTTTTTTATATCCTCCACCGTTCTATGATGGTATATGAACTTTGCCATTCCCTTTGTAATTCCTCGAAATACAGAAGATAGATAGAGAAATGGGCCATGTAATTAAGTTCGTAAATGGTCCATGTCGGTTTACGTTTTCGTATAGCCTCCATATAACGGTACCTACCAATATTCGGTATTTTGATGATTTTAGCGACATTAATATCGTATTTTAAGTTCACAATGGGTTTTTTCAACCTATGACGGAAATTTTTCTATACAGATTTACGTCTTCGTATAGTCAACGTATAACGGTATCTCCCTTCGGTATTTTGACGATATTAACGATGTTATTCACCTGAATTGTTTCTAATTTCGTTTAAAAAAAAATGCTTATGCTCGTCTTCGTATAGACCCCAGATAACGGTCTTTATCTTAGCGGTATTTTAAAAGAAGATAAAGATCATTGTACAAAACTTGAATTTTCGCAATAAAAGTGAACAATCGGGGCAAATTGTTACGATTTTTAAATTTTTCATTGGATCTACTTGGTAATGCCGTGCATGTTACATAATAGGGAAGGTGAGTGCTACTGTATGGTACGTTGGGTTTTAAGGGTGGACTATAAATTGATATATAAATTGAAAAATATGAGTTTCTTCCAACAATAGCATGATCCAAATTCAAGTATTTTATTTTTATCTGTTGTTCGTTTTTATTTACTGCATATTTCTTCTTCTTCTTTTGTTGTCAAAATACAGTTTTTATTGAACATATTCCATAAATAATTCTATTTTGATAAAGATCTTAATGTAAAATGTTGAAATGTAAATTTTGTTAACTATTTTTCACGGTTTCTTCATTTTTTATGGAATCAACACACATGGGCACTTTTGACGGCAAAATAGTTGAATTCGCCTCCTGTGCGGGCTTATTAAATTGGCCATGAATTTGAAAAATTTTATTTGCAATTTTTTTAAATAACCTTCAAATTCATATTTTATATGTATTAACTATTATAATTTCGAAATACCAGTGTTTGTACCGATAAATTCAATTGAGTGTATGCAGCCGCTATATAAAAAGTTGAATAAGGTAATAATTGTGTGAACACGCCAACATTTATATTTTCATCCTTATTTTCTTCAAAATATGGAAAATAAAATAAAAGAATAGGTAGCAACATTAGATATTTGTGTGCATTGAATTGTCTATAGCGTTCGCAACGAATAATGAAATTAAATTAAATGACTGCGGTAACAAAAAATAGTGCATCCATACGAATGGTACTCCTGAAACGTTTTTCCAAGAATTTTCCAAACCGATTTTACTTTATCAATTTTTCAAGTTATTATCAGGTTCCATTGTGTGAAAGCCAGAAATAGTGCAGACACATTGTGCGTTGGAAGGCCCTCAAGGAGT